CCTTAATATCTAAGCCGTTTTTAGAGGAAAAATGGGTGAGGTAATTAACAATTTTTTGGGGGCATTCTTTATTTTTACAGACCTGATAAATATTAGTTGAATTTCATTCTAGATTTGAACCGCAGGAGGGACAATTAGTAGGAGGTTGTCAATTATCATTATTACTTAATTTAATTACTTGAGTTATTTGGGGAATAACGTCACCGGCTTTTTTGATTACTATCTCATCGCCGATATTTAGTTTTAAATTAGCAATAAAAGAGTAATTGTGAAGCGTTACCTTACTTATTTTGCTGCCTTGTAAAATTACCGGAGTCATTTCTGCCACATAAGTTATTCGCCCACTCCGGCTTACCTCAACGTAAATGTTCTTTACCTGACTGGAAGCGACTGAGGCTGGAAATTTGTAAGCCATGGCTCAACGGGGAAAGCGGCTCGTTTGACCTAGTTTTTCGTAATTCTCATAATCATTCACTTTAACCACAATGCCATCGCTTTCAAAATCTAATTTTTGCCGCTTTTTTGCTTGTTTTTGAATAAACTTTCCCACTTTTTCAATATTTTTGAATACTTGATAATCAGGACTCACCGAAAATCCAAAACTTTCTAATTCTTGTAGACAAGAAAATTGGCTTGACAAATCGCTATTGAATAATTGATAAGCAAAAAAATGTAAACTTCTATTTTGTAAAGGAATCAGCGTTCGTAAACTACCTGAAGCCGCATTACGAGGATTAGCCAGTAATTTATTACCAGACTTCTTTAATTCCTCATTCAAACGATGAAATTCTTCCTTTTTCATGTAAACTTCCCCCCGTACTTCACAATTAGCAACTTCTTTCAAAGAAAAAGGAACATTTTTTATTAACCCTTTATTAAAGGTTATATCTTCACCAATCGTTCCGTTACCGCGAGTGCTGATTTGAACTAACTGATGATTATGATAGATTAAACTAATTGATAGTCCATCAATTTTCCATTCACAAATATATTCAATTTCCTCTTCTGTTTTTAATATCTTTTTTACTCTTTCATCAAACTTTAATAAATCCTCATAGTTATCAACACTGTCTAAACTCAGCATGGGATTTTGACGAACCACTGGGCGGAATTTGGGGCTGGCAGGATGGCCTGCTTTTTGAGTTGGCGAATCAGGAAGAATAAAATTATATTTAATTTCTAACTCCCGCAGTTCTTTTAAATGTTTATCATATACCGCATCCTCGACGCTAGGCTGATTAAGAATATAATATTCATAATTTCACCTTTCAATTAAGGCAATCAGTTCCCTCATTCTTTTTTCGAGAGTTTCATTTTTTTTATTCATGTATAAGGAATGTTATATAAGGAGATTTTAAAAGGAAGAAAAGGTCATAAGT